TTTTGGTTTAAAAACTGAATAACGTCGGTTTTTTGGTTTTCCGAAAAACCAAAAAACAACACCGGTTCTTTTTTAAACTTTGTTAATATGTTTTGGATGCATATTGTTCTAGTATTTGTTCAGGCTGTTACATACAAGTAGCCTCTGTTGCTACCTGCTGGTGGTGAGTAAATATTAAAATCAGTTCAAATTGACAACCGGTCCGCGATTTTTTTTTAATGTATCTACCGGTCCTTGGCACAATAAAGGTTGGGAACCCCTGCCCTAAAGGATCTACAGCCCGGGCTCCAAGAGTTCTTTAGATATGTGAGTTTTCTGTTTATGCTATTGTTGAGCTCCACCCATCCACACAGTGTTCGTCCACACAGGCACAAACAGTCAACCTAACTCCAGCATGATATTGAACTGCTTGCTGTCACTGCTGAAAGCTTGGGTAAAGAATGTGTAATATCAGGGCCCCTTCCACACCACTCCATACAGCTCATCCTCTCAAAGTGTTCAGGTGATCCTCAGGCATGCAACATATCAACTATTTGTGGCAAAAGACTATCAACTGGGCAAAAGGTGCAACAGCAGTTATTTATTACATCAACCCCAGTTACATCCAATCTCATCACAATCACTCCTGTTCCATTGGCAGATCTACCTAAGACTTTGCGATCAGCACTCCTTAAGATCACTTGTAAACAAATCCTTTTTATGTAGTGATTTTATCTTTTCAAATTATTTAGATCTCCTCATGATTACAGAATCCTGGCTGACACAAAGCACCATTATAAAAGGCAAATCTCCTTGTCTGTGCATAATTATGTATAGACCACCTACATTTAATCCCAATTGTATTAATGAATTTGCAGAATTGCTATCATTATCACTGCTGAGACGTCATGTCGTGTCACGTGACTTGAATTTTGAATTGAGCCGTCCCTTATAGATTCTATCTCTTTGCATATGCACACACACACAATTTTGAAATGCGCCGTCCCTTTTACTATCTCTTTACGTCTCCCTGCCGACAGGGACACCCCTCCAGGCATGGTCCTTGGAAGATGCGGCGGTGTTTTTTTTCGTCAAAAGAACGCGCTTTGCTGGCGGCGAAAATAATCCCACCAGACTCCTTTGCCCCTCCAAACAGAGGGATGTCCTTGTCCTTTTTCCTTTTCGTCATTTCAAGCGATAAAAACTCTCGATCTTCTGTGTGTGTGTGTGTGTGTGTGTGTGTGTGTGTGTGTGTGTGTGTGTGTGTGTGTGTGTGTGTGTGTGTGTGTGTGTGTGTGTGTGTGTGTGTGTGTGTGTGTGTGTGTGTGTGTGTGTGTGTGTGTGTGTGTGTGTGTGTGTGTGTGTGTGTGTGTGTGTGTGTGTGTGTGTGTGTGTTTTAATAGGACATCAACATGAAAAGTGAGCAGTTTGTTCATCTTCATTATACATGCCTTTATAGATGCTTAAATAAATGCATAGACTAAAATATTTAACTGAAATGTAATTATATCAATTATATATTTGTTATTATCAAAATATGAAGGGTAATAATAGATTATGGGTAGTGGTGGTCTAATGGATAGTGAGGTGGGCTGAAGATCGGAATGTTGTGAGTTCAAATCCCACCTGGAACACCACCACTAGGTGCCCTTGAGTAAGGCACTTAGCCCTGAGTTACTCCAGGGAGAATGTCCCTGTAATTGGTCATTGTAAGTCGCTTTGGATAAAAGTGTCAGCTAAATGAAATGTAATGTAATGATTATGACAGAAAACAAGAATCAAAGGAAACCACTGTCTTTGTAACTTAAAGTCTCCTCAGGTCATAGTACAGCACAGCAAAGAGGCTTTTCCTGGCACAAAAGTAAAATGAATAACAAAAAAAGGACAGTAAAACATGGGAATCGGCAAATTTGTAACTCTAAACATCGGCTGAAGAATTTGACAGCGGTGCATTCCTATTATCGTAATGATGTACGGGCCATGATGTAAGCAGGCAGTCAGCAGGACCAAGCTAAGCCAGTGTGAGAAACATCTACACATTATCTCTGGGTCCGAAACACGTAGTGTGATAAAAAACATGTTTTCAAATGATTTAAAGGTCCCATGTCACGGCCATTTCTACTGATCATAATTCTATTGTTGAGGTCTACTAGAATAGATTTATATTGTGCAATTTTCCAAACTCACATTGGTTTCTCATACAGCATCTCTGTATAGCATGTGTATTCACTCTCTGTCCTAAACGGCTTGTTGGAGCTCCTGCCCCCCCCTCCCTGTGAGCCCAGTGTGCTCTGATTGGTCAGCTCGCCCACTCTGTTCTGATGAGTCCACCACCGTTACAGTGGAACATCAGATTGATTATGTGTTACAATGGCGTTAGCAACCAGAAAATGACACCAGTAATGACAAACAGATGAGAATGCTGCCTGGGGTCTGGGTGCCGTGTTGGCGGGACGTTGCCAGCTAGTAACCTAGCAACCAAGCTAGCGGCAGTCAGAAATTAGGTATCTTCGAATCTACTTGCAAATAAATATGGGGAAGTGTAAGTTCAACCGTATTTGGTTGGAAAACATCGAATTTAGTGCTTGGTTGAAACCAGTGGAGGGGAATGTGTTTGAAGCCAGCTGCACCTTTTGCAAAAAAAATTAGCGTTTGTTTTGCTAATGCAGCGTTAGCTAGTGCAGCTACTCCCGCAACAACACCGGGGGTCCTCCGGGCGACGTTTGAGTCTACGTCAACCCTAAAAGCGGAGGTGGTGTGGACGCTAAATACCGTAGCTAAACACCAATCATACAACAGCATGAAGACAGCAGAGCTCTGACTATAGCTCTTGTCACTCACACACACACACACACACACACACACACACACACACACATACATACATACATACATACATACACACACACACACACACACACACACACACACACACACACACACACACACACACACACACACACACACACACACTTTTTGTCTAACACAGTTCTGTGTACTGTTATGCTGTTATGTTATGTCATCGTTCTTATGTTGAACATGAATACATTTACTTTGTAAGTCATTATGGGACGTATTTCTTCTTTCCTAGCAATTTTCCTTCATACTTTCTTGCCGTGAAATAGGTCTTGAATTCTATTCAAAGTGGTCTTAAAAAGGTCTTAAAAAGTCTTAAATTTGAGTTGGTGAAACCTGCAGGAACCCTGTGTTTATTTCTTGTCTTTTAATTTGTATTGTACAATGCCATGTCTTTTTATGCTGCTGCAACACTAACATTTCCCAAATTGGGATCAATAAAGTTCTATCTTATCTTATCTCTTATCTTATCTAGATGTGTTTTTTATATGTTTTTATATATCTGATACCCATAATATATGCCTAAAAGTAGCATGATGGGAGATCTTTAATGGAAGTATGGGTCATGGTACTGTTAAATTGTTCTGACACAAACTACACCTGTGTACTGGTAGTGGGTTGGATCCACATTACTAACAGAGAGGAGGCCCCTGTTTCAGAGCTTCCCCTCCATCCAGCTGCTCTGTTTCCTTTCCTTTTCCTCTGGTTCCCTGTGAGTGGTTCCCACAGATCCTGATCTCCTCTGGAACTTCCTCTGCCTCTTGAGGGAGGGGGGAAACAGGAAGGAGCTCAACTTCTCTTGACCCAGAGCTAGAGGCAAACTTCACCACAGACACAGACGGGATCTTTCTCAAACTGTCGGCCACAGATCCAGGAGGAGAAACTTAGTCTACATCACAAATATGTTTCATCATGATACACCAAATAATAGGACTATATGTTGCAAATGATAACCTGAATACTGGTATAAAAAGTAAACGTTTAAATAAAAAGTATTCAATTGTGAAAATACAAGTAAAAATGAAGATCAACTGGCTTAATATGTAGAGAATATTCTCACATTTTGATGATAAAAGATTAGGAATTAAAGTAAACAATAAACAGATAATTGATTTCCTTTCAATCAATTGTTCCACTATTTGTGCAGCTGCCATCAGAACACTGCCAGCTGTTCGTTACTGCAGCTGACCTTACAGTGTGGAACACTCACAAGTTGTTCCTGTTGAAAGATTTAACAGCACAGGTAGATAGGTAGGTCATGGTTCTTACGGTCATTAAAAACCTGGAAAAGTCATGGAAATTCAAAATGCTAATTCCAGGCCCTGGAAAAGTTATGGAAAACAATATTTTTCCCAAAGTTTTGGAAAAGTCATGGAAATGTAACTAAAGTTGCATCGAATATAATTTATATATTTATCTAATCGCCAAAATAGTAATACTATAATGATAATACATACTGTATCATACAGTATAGTAATGAAACGTAAAATGGCATTTAACTGTCGAGCTATTTTGCTGGTGAGACATTTTAGTTGCTTTAGCGTGTAGAAGCTAGTAAGCCTACTATTTGATTTGTTTTAGATAGGCACAACATGTTTCAGACCTTATTTTCCTGTTCCATGTTAAAATAAACCATTTTCAGTGATACCGCTGAGAAAGAGTAATGTTTTTGGTCATGGAAAACTAGGTAAAGGTCATGGAGAAGTCATGGAGAAGTCATTGAAAATCATTGGTGAAAAACTGTATGAACCCTGGTAGGTAGGTAGATAGATAGATAGATAGATAGGTACGTACTTTATTGATCCCAAGTAAGTGCATGTGGTGTTAGACCCCTCCAGGAGGGAGAGTGACTGATGAGGGGCAGCAGAGATGAGGGGGACCAAGAGAGGATCAGGTGTGCAGGAAGTGTCACATTTTCATTTCCTCACAGGGATAATTACTGTGTGTGTGTGTGTGTGTGTGTGTGTGTGTGTGTGTGTGTGTGTGTGTGTGTGTGTGTGTGTGTGTGTGTGTGTGGTGTGTGGTGTGTGTGTGTGTGTGTGTGTGTGTGTGTGTGTGTGTGTGTGTGTGTGGTGTGTGTGTGTGTGTGTGTGTGTGTGTGTGTGTGTGTGTCAGTTGTTGTTGCTCTGTAGCTGAAACTCTTCTTCTTGGTTCTCTGTGTGCAGGCTGATCAGTGACTGGAGAGGATGATGCTCTGCTGAATCCCCCCCTCCTTTATCCTCCACACCACCACCTCCATCATGAACCACACCCCCAGCCCCCACCTGTCGGAGGGTGGGAAGTCTTCCGGAGGGGGCCTGCTGTGCAGCCTGGGTCTGGGATCCGACCGGGGCATCCGCTCCCCGGACAGCCTGGCCCACACCCCCAGCCCCACCGGAGAAACCCCGAGCTCTAGCCCCCCCCTGCTGCTGTCGCCCGGGCTGGGTGGCTTTGGGCTGGTGTCCCTGGGGGCCATGGGCGAGGGGGCCGACTGGGAGAGCAGGGAGGAGCTGAGGCTCCGGGAGCTGGAGGAGGCTCGGGCCAGAGCGGCACAGATGGAGAAGACCATGAGGTGGTGGTCCGACTGCACCGCCAACTGGAGGGAGAAGTGGAGCAAGGTGGGGGGAGGGGCTGCTCAAGCCAGGAGAGAGAGGCTGCATGCCTAACAATGCTCTGATCATTTTTATGTTTTTGTGCACACAGTGAGATCATTCATGTCCAAAATGTGCATTTTACCAAGCAGGTTTTATTCAGATTTCACTCAATGAATGAACTTCATTGCAATGGATTGGCTGGGGAATTAGAAAGCTAATGCTCCAGATTATCTGTCATTTAAAACTTAAACAAACTGCACTTATTTGATTGTAAAATACCTTGGTTGGTGATTGGCTAATGGTTACACAACCCAAAAAACATTGTGACATCACAAAGTGACCAAAATCCGATCAGCTGATTTTCAGACAGGTTTGTATATAAATGGATCAGGACAAAAAGAGAGGGGGTCTTTGTTCCTGAAACTTTCAGAATCTCTTTACACAGAGGGGACACATGTTGATGTAGAAAATACATGATTTTGCATAATAGGTGACCTTTAAATCTCCAGTAAAAGCTTGTAGGTAGATTATTTTCACAAAATAATCTCTTATGCATGACATATATGAGCTGGGTCATGTTAAGCTGCCTTCTACAAATGATGGTCATATACATTTCATCTGCATTAGGAGGGAAACATCATCCCACTTGAATTTTCATGATGTCATGAAATGTTTTATGATGTGACATCTCAAAGCATTTGGTTGAGAAAAGAGTAGAAATTCAAAATAAATAAAAAATCAACTCTGGCTTGAATCAGGAGAACAGGTATTTCACTTTTTCAAAATGGTACCTGAACCAACACTGAAATAGCAGCGTGTAGTAGTGCCTGATCAAGGCCAGATATATGTGCCAAAGGGCCTTCATTGCTGTCCAAAAATGATTGAAAACTCATCCATGAGCCACCCTGTTGCCCTGGGTGACATATTCCTCATGAATACACTGTAGTTTATTTTGATTAAATCCCACATACACTTTCCTGCCACAAATACTTACTACAGACAGATCCACATAATGTGGATGATTCCACTGAGGAAAGTAGTCCCCATCATCCTCTGGTGTGAGAAGGCTTGCTATTAAACGACAATTTCCTGCTGTTAAAGTTCCTCTTGTGTTTTTGTATGTTTGCAGGTGCGTGCGGAGAGGAACCGGGCCCGGGACGAGGTGCGCCAGCTGAGGCAGCGGCTGGACGCCCTCACCAAGGAGCTGAGCGGCGTGCGGCGGGAGCGGCAGGAACTGGCCTCTGAGAACGAGACACTACGGCAGGAAACGCTGCGTCTCCGTGGCGACCAAGCTCCTGGCGCTCCTCCTCCGTCTGCCACTTCTCCATCTTCCTCCCCTGCACACCCTTCCTCCTCCTCCTCCCCGTCCATACCTCCTTCCTCCCCTGCCTCCTCCTCCTCCTCTCAGGTCCACACTGACGGCCAGCCGGACAGGGTGGGGGAGAGACCGCCGGGGTCTCCGGAGCCAGAACCAGTGAGGGACGTGGACCTGGACAGACAGAAGATGGTTCTAGAGAAGGTGAGTCTGTGTGTTAGAGTGGATTCAGTGTCTCTATGGATCAGACTGAGCAGAGTCACAGCCTGATGCACAGGAAACTTTAGACATTAATGCTTGTTCTAAAGCCCATCTTTATTCTAGGGCCACCATGTGGTGTACAACCTAAAAACCATCATGTTGACATGTTTCAAATGTAATGTACATAGTTTGTGTTATTATAAGAAAGAACAAGGGTCTTTGGGGATATATCCCCAATAATAAATGCTTCTTCACTCTCAGCTGTGGTTGCCACAGTGCTGAAGGTGACCACAGGGACTTACAGAAGTAACAGATTTCTGTTTGATGTGCGTTGGTTTAGTCTTCTGGACCTCTAACAGCAGAAACCCGTTCCACACGCTAAGGTGCAGGACAGGAGGAGAAGAGATTTCAGAAGTGAAGCTGATGTATGTTATGAATACTATCAAATAGTGCATAGTCTTATTACAGGTAACCGTAACACTGCATCCTGCTGTTTACCTTGCAATTGTTCTAACTACAGATAGATAACTGTTTCATATTCTGGTGGTTCAGGTCTTGATAGCTGTGTATCGCCTCCCTGAAGGCAGGAGGGGGGGCAGGTGGTGGGAGGAATCCTTGGCAATGAGGGGAGAGAGCAGTCGATGCATTTGTGGGCCTTGTTGGTGACCCTCTATCAGATCAAAGTTGTGCACAGATTTGGTTTTTCTAACTTGCAGATCTGCTACTAAAACTGGAGTTGTATTTCATACCTCACATGTAGCTGAAGCAACTGGCTCACAGCATGCAGCCCTTTCTCTGGAAAGCAGGGTTACTCTGTCTTTGAACTCAAAGGGCCCAACTGTACAAAGCTGTTTGGCCCCGTAATGTGTGCTTTATTGTCCTCAGTAGACAATATATTGTCTATATTCAATATTTACTCCTCACATCCTGTGAAAGCTCCATTTACCGTACATTAAACTGAGAAAATGTGATTCGTAAATTCCCTTAGATTCAATTCTTTTTGGATGAATTCAGTGAAATATAGGTGTAATCTGCTAACTGAATCAAGTGTGGTTCAATAACTGGATTTCTCACAAATGGGTGAGGATTGGTTTTGACCAACTGTTAGTTGGAACAATATAAACATTTGAAGATGGGATGTTGTGGTCTGGAAACTTTATTTGCAATATTTTACAAAAAATAGACTCATCAAAAGATTATTGATAGATGTATAAATAAACAGAAACCTTACGCTGCTGATCCTATGAAACACAGACGGCCTCTCACTCCAGCATTGTTTTCTGTGCTGCTCATGTCCTCTGCTGCTGTAAGACAATATGACCTGAACCTCGCTGAATGTAGGCCACACTGCTGTTACATCGCTCAACAGAAGTGTGTGTGTGTGTGTGTGTGTGTGTGTGTGTGTGTGTGTGTGTGTGTGTGTGTGTGTGTGTGTGTGTGTGTGTGTGTGTGTGTGTGTGTGTGTGTGTGTGTGTGTGTGTGTGTGTGTGTGTGTGTGTGTGTGTGTGTGTGTGTGTGTGTGGGTGTGTGTTGGAAAGTGGTGTCCTACTTTGGGTGTACACCTGGGCACACACACTGCTAGTGACGCAAAATAGGACACCTTCCAACACACACACACACACACACACACACACACACACACACACACACACACACACACACACACACACACACACACACACACACACACACACACACACACACACACACACACACACACACACACACATCCCAGAGGGCTCAGTGATGCTGCAGTACTTCTTCTCTGTCAGCCTGTGGAGTGCCTAGCGTCCTGAACCAAAGCATATCTGGCTCTTACCAAATACACTGACACACAAAAACGCTCATGAGAAAATTCTAACTTGTATGGGAGGACAGGGTCATATTTCAGCCTTCAGCCACTCTGAAATGCTCTTTGGAGGCCATTTGAAACTAAGAAGAGAGAGCCTAAGTCAAACAGGAAGTTCTGGAACTTAAATTACTAAGTCCCGCCCTACTACAGAACTTTACAGTATGTCGTCCTGGGTGCACTCTATTCGTACATTAAAACAACAATTTGATATCATTGTTAATGTCATATTTTAATTTGTACTGCTCTTTAAGGCACCACACCCCCCAGCTGCTGTCCTGTGTTGTCCTCTCAGCAGCTGGAGGGGTCCTGTCCCTCTCTCAGGTGTAAATCATTGTATTTTTGATAATTGCTTTAAAGCTTCACTGCTGCCGGCAAGGTCATGATTTCCACTGGGGACAAAAGGGACACGTTCACCCAGAGGTCGCGTTAACCGAATACTTTCCGTCAATGACGTAATTTTTCCAAGAATGACGGAAAACTCTGAAAGCAGTCCGTCATTTTGACAGATTAGAACACAACTCGGAACAGCGCCAAAATGTCCACCAGCGGCCCACATTATATTACATCCTTGGTGGCCAGGTCGACTGAGGGCGATCTACTGTACTCTACTGTAACTATTATTTAGTAATTCACACCCCTGTCCAGTTGGTGGCGAGTGTGTGCATATTAAGTAGCTATTGTCTAGTCTTGTATTTGACCTCGTTGATTACCTCGTTGTTTAACCGGCTTCAGCAATCGCAAAATGTCACGAAGCTTTTTTAATAAGCCCAGTAATTGTGATGGTGTGGATAAACGAGGTGAAAAAATAGGGATTGATGCAGTGGAGGATGAAGGACAAGCCAGTAAGACTAAAACTGACAACGTTCAGCCAGCAGCAGAGGGACAAGCAAGTGGCAAGGAAAAATAAATCATTCATATTCGTTTTGACATGAAAAGTGACCGCACGGTCGGTGTCTCTGTTCATCTTTGTTTTTCTCCATGCCCTTAAAAGTTCTGTATGAATCATAAAAAAAAGGAATGAATGAACATTTGCTGCTTAGTACCCAAACATAAATATTAAATATGTCTCATCATTAAAACATGAAAAATAAAATTACGGGTAATAATGGATTATGACGGAAATGTTACGATCCTGTCCGTCAAAATGACGGACAACGAAAAAGTCTAACGTAACCACTGCGTTCACCTTACTTTATTTTTCAAATTCCCACTCCTTTTTTCCAGTCAGTCCCCTCAGAGCAGTAAACCTCTCAGACTTCACACAGGTGGCCCTCACATCAGATTGGTAGCTCTCCCTGGCAGACAGTGCTCGGGGCAGCTCATAAACTACTGTGGCCTGTCCTTAATACTGCTGGGTACAAAAATAAAGATTTTGACTCTATCCAAAATAAGCTTCACAGCCAAACAGGTGGCATGTACTGAGAATGAAGTCCTCCTCTACAGGTACACTTTTGCATTTGAGGAACACTGACGACTGTCTTACCAAATTGATGTTCAGTCTGAAAGGTCTATTTTCTGCTTCACTAACAACAACATGAGCTTTACAACAAGAACCACCTCCATGAACGTCTCCTTTACAAACAGTTAGCCACATTTTGTTAAACATCTCCATTTGAGGGGTAGAAATGCGATGCTGATGACCTGTCTGCCACTTTGGCCCAGACCTATCTGAAGAACTATTGGATGGATTTGAATGAAATCAGATTTTCAGTGAATGTATCCTAATGGCTTACAGTTTCCTAACATACACCTGGAAAGCTAGTGATCAGCCTCAGCTTTGTGTTGAGAGTAATTAGAAAATGCTAGAATGAAAGATGTAAACCTAAATGTGGTCTTGTATAGAAATACTTTTTTGAAAGCAATTACGCTTATATTGACAGACACAAAATTAGATTACTATAATGCAAACAAATACTGGCGGAACATGTGGTATGAGTGTGGATGTTCAGCACCAGGGCGAGTTGAGGAGCGGACCAATGACCCAGTCACTGTCTTAGTAAACTGGCCGCTGAATAAACACAGATTGACATCCAGAAAAACTGCATTTCTTTCAGGAAATCTGACCCTGCAGCAGTGGTGGACCTCTCCACTTTATGGCTGCATACTATCCCAACACACACACACACACACACACACACACACACACACACACACACACACACACACACACACACACACACACACACACGTATGAGTTGTAACCACATAATGAAGGGGCAGTAAATATAAACACTGTCACTGCCTATCACACATGACCTTCAAGAGTCTCAGGCAGGGTTTCCATGGTAACACGCATGCATTCACACACAGACACACACATATTGGGGCTATAGCGTTGACAGTAAACAGTGATACTGTGGCTAACGGGTACCCACACACAGCAGAGCCTTATTTCCTGTCTCCTCAATTGTTCTGGTTCTCAGGCTGAGTGTTTCCACATGTGGCTCACTTTGTCTGACGGACATCTGTTACACAGGGGGGCCCTCTGTCGGGGGGGACCTGTAATGACAGCAGCAGCACAGATCTGATGCACTCTCCTGCAAATAGTCATACATGTGGAGTTTTAAAAGGAATCTGTCATGCTTAACATCAGTCATCCGAAATAAGCAATCAGACTTTTTGTAGAGAGGTGTTGATGCACTTAGTTCATCAGAACTTAGTGCATCAGAAGTTAGTTCATCAGAACTCTTTAGTTCTCATGAACTAAGTACAGATCGCGTTCACACCGGAATAAGTCCCTGGGGGAGGATTAGGCAAATGAAGCCGCTGACGTCACTTCTTCTTCTTCTGCTTTGGGTTTACTGGCAGGCCGCAAACAACTTCACGGCGTATACTGCCACCCGAAGTCCCCGGAGTTGGGGACTGGCTTCAGTAGAAGCTGCTGGGACTCCGAGCAGCTTCTACTGAAGCCTTCCGAGTAAATCGCCAGAACGCCGACACCTCCTCATCTCCACCGCTCCCATGTTTTCTTTTGTGTTGCCATAAGTTAGTCTCTCTGCGTTTGTGCGCTGGGCTAATGCTAATGCTAATAATGCTAATGCGAGGATAATAAAATGGCGGCTTCACAAAACTTTTTGGGAGTTTTACGGGGCGTGGTTTGCAATCCGCCCAGCCAATCAGAAATAGGAACCTTTTTCTCCCACGAAAGTCCCTGCTCTCTAGCAGGGACGGAAAAGGGGGTAAAAAGGTTCTCATTAACTAATTTTAGTTCCGGATTTTTTTGGTGTGAACGCAACATTTCAGAACTATATTGGAACTAAAGTGGGAAAAGTACTGCGGTGTGAACGCGCCTCTTGTGTGGCTGAAATGTTTCATCCATCTTGCAACTGATGTGAGAATCAGGCTTTTGGCTTAAAGGTCCCATGTCATGGCCATTTCCACTGATCATAATTCCATTGTTGAGGTCTACTAGAATAGATTTATATTGTGCATTTTTCCAAACTCACATTGGTTTCTCATACAGCATCTCTGTAAACTACGTGTATTCACTGAATTTCACTATCTGCCTTTAACGGCTCGTTGTAGCTCCAATAGCTCCAGCCCCCACCCTCCCTGTGAGCACAGTGTGCTCTGATTGGTCGGGACGTTGTGAATCGCGCTGAGCTCCGTGGAGGTGTTGTTTCCTTGTTTAGGATACATAGCGAAACACAGCCAAACTCATCCTGAGCACACACAAGCTCACATCCGAAGTAAAAACAATAAGTGTGGCTTGATATTGAGTAAGAAAAAGGTTGATAAACGCTGTGAGAATGGGTCTGCAGAGAGAATTTCGCCGCGATCCCAACTGTCTGTTATCAGCCTGCAGCCAGGGAGGAGAAATCAGCTGAGCTGCCTGCTCCCTGCACACAGATGTGTGTGTGAGGAAGTCCGTGGATTGGTCAATTTGGACCAATCAGCGGGGGCTTAACGTAACGGCTCCGCGGACGTAACGTAGCGGCTCCACGGATTGGTCCATTTCGTTCCGGGTACGGCATGACATCATGCCGTACCCGGAACGAAATGGAAGAATCAAATGGACAATGACGTATCTCCAACGAGGCGTTTTGGGAGAGGTATTTTCTGTGTTAGAGTTTTACTCGCTACAGGGTGTACTTTGAGGGTTTGTGACTCTGCACACCGTTTACATGCATAAAAACCTTCATAACACACAAGGGGACGGGTAATAACCGGAAAAGCATGACATGGGCACTTTAAAACAGACATAATTTTGTCAGAAAATACTTCAAATGTTTTACAAGTATTTGGCTTCGGATGTGAATGTCTTACTCTGTAGTCTACTGACTCCTGACCCATTACCCCTGACTTTTCTTTCTTGAGGATGCTGTGAGTGGTTTTGGTGGGGATAAACCGACAGCTGATAGTCATTATGTTTCCCACAGTGACACGGGTCCACTGGACTGGGACTCAAGTAAGACTGCAAGGAATGATTATATTCATTGTTGGTTATTGGATTTGTTATTTGGACTATGACATTTCAGATAATTGTGAGAAATGTGGGTCCGTGTTTCCCAAAGCCCAGATGGTATCCTCATCATTTTGGTTTCCCCAAAACTCAAAGATAGACAGTTTACCTGTATGTATGTCATACAGTATAGCTAAGAAACCAGAGATGATTATTATGTATCTTGTTTCAGGACACAGGAGGGGGTGTTTATAGTCAGGGTTCATACACTTTTTCACCAATGATTTTCAATGACTTTTCCATGACTTCTCCATGACCTTTACCTAATTTTCCATGACCAAAAACATTACTCTTTCTCAGCGGTACCACTGAAAATGGTTTATTTGAACATGGAACAGGAAAATAAGGTCTGAAACATGTTGTGCCTATCTAAAACAAATCAAATAATAGGCTTACTAGCTTCTACACGCTAAAGCAACTAAAATCTCTCACCAGCAAAATACCTCGACATGCAGTTAAACGCCATTTTACGTTTCATTACTATACGATAGAGTATTTATTATCATCATTATAGTATTACTATTTTGGCAATTAGATCAAATATAAATTATATTTGATGCAACTTTAGTTACATTTCCATGACTTTTCCAAAACTTTGGGAAAAATATTGTTTTCCATAACTTTTCCAGGGCCTGGAATTAGCATTTAGAATTTCCATGACTTCCAGGTTTTTAATGACCGTAAGAACCCTGTATAGTGTTTAAAGCTGCTTTGCTTTAAACACTATAGAGAACCCCTCACAGGGTCCATCATTTCTACTCTTCAACCACAGATATCTGTACTACTCAGTCACAGAGTCAGATATTTATGAGGGACTCCTGAAGGCACCTCAGTGATGATCTAGACTGGAAGCATGCAGCATTATGCAGCCTGTGGGAGACACACACATCTGCCGGAGCTGGAGCATATTGGGCACGGGAAACATTAGGATGTATACTGTTGTAGTGACAAAGCAGATAGATTTACTATGTGGGAAGAACAACAACTCTACATTTCCAATTTAATTTCTGTGGAGGCCATTAAAGGAAATGAGATGTGAAAACGTTTGGTCTGGAGGAGCAGAAACCTGAGATGATCTGCTCGATGACAACGGTTTGATTTGCCGGCCTGTAGGGTGGAACACTGAGGACAGAAGAGAGACATATTGTTGAACAAGACGCCGTATTTTCTGACAACCTTTCAAATCAAGGAGCTTCATATGAGTCTATACAAGAGATGGTGTTATTTGGAATGAGACTTTATTTGCAGGGAGCTATACTGAAAGGGAGCCTTAATCCTGCCAGATGATTGGTTAGGAGTTATGGAATGTTAGGAGAGCAAATGTTTCTCAGAAGATTATTCCAGGAGAGAGACGCACAAATCACCAGGTGAATATTTATATTTAATATTCACAATGACTGGGTGTGTTTATTGTGTCCAAACTGCTGTTAAACCTATAAGAGACTTTGAGACAAACAAGTTTTACACATAGCTTTAAAAAAACAAAGTATCCTGTGATTGTGAGGCTGGGCTGTGTTGTGTTGCTCCCTCTGTCAGTATGAAGTAAAGCGTGTTGATAACAGGAAGTGTTTCATTAACGTAGTGCTAACGAGCTTGCTAATTGAGAGCCTGCAGTCCTTCTTTCTCTCTCTGGCGGCTCTGATAAACATCAGCTCCATTCTCTTCATATCGTTCTTCATTCTCTCCTCCCTCTGTGTCTCCGTCAGGACCTGGAGGTGCTGGAGTCCGTCCTGCACTCCCGGGCCCCGGACGGTGACCCTCAGGAGTGCTGGGAGAATCGGGGGGCTGTGAACTCCTCCACCCCCCGCTCATCCTCCGCTCTGAGCCGGCAGGAACGCAGCAGACAGCTGTGGGAGGACCTCGGCACTGGGGAGGAGGACTCGGGGAAACTGAACGCTCTGCAGCTCCGCCTGGACGAGTCCCAGAAGGTCCTGCTGAAGGAGAGAGAGTAAGAGAAACACAGACCCATCCATCACCACCTCCACACTCCATTACTCCATCACTCCACCCAGCAGCATTCTCTGTGGGTCACCTGCCTACACCCCGAAAACTCCAATATGTATTCCTGATATGCACCCACTCAGGCCCCAGAACAGCATGATGGATTTTTTGAAAACCTGTGTGTTTGTGTCTCCCCCCCCAGTGACAAGCTGGCTCTGAGTAAGAGCATCGAGAGGCTGGAGGCTGAACTCACTCAGTGGAAGTTTAAATATGAGGAGCTCAGCAAGACCAAACAGGAGACCCTCAAACAGGTGAGACCTCCAGGACCTCAGGTCACAGCATCCGTTCTTTATGTCTGGGCTGAAGGGCCACCTACAGACTGGCTCCAAAAACAGTACGAGTTTGTCGTGTGAAATGTGTTTGTGACTGACAGCAGGATGAATGCTTCCGTTTAGAAAGAGGTCTGACTGCGCAGAGTTCTCAAAGGGTTTTGGGGGCCTGTATTTACTAGTGAAGCCTCTGAACCTCCGCAGGAAGTAGAACTGGCTGTGGCCCCTCTTGTAGAGGGCCCCCATGTTCCAGGCCCACTCCACCCTGTCCTCCAGCTGCACTCAAAGGTATTGAATGGACAGTGACATCCTCAGAGGAAGCGTCTCCCCCAGAAGACAACAGTCATGCTTTCTTTTCAACCAATGTGTTTATTATTACATTTTAATGTATAAAAGCACATTTTTATTTACATTTTTTATTTCCCCATTTGCTCAAAAATTGCACCCGATTGATGCATTTCAGTTGAAAATATAGCCTGCAACGTTTAAGTACATTTACCAGAAACATGACGGATGTGCTGGCAGTACTCCACCACTGGGGGGCAGCACAGAGCTGCAGGGAGGAGAGGAAGAAGAGGACACACACACAGTAGTTGTGAAAAGACTGGCAGAAGGACAGGCTGGGACAGGGAGGAGGGGGAGAGGTGTGTGGATGGTGATGGAGGGAAGATAAGGGCGTAGAAGAGACGGAGATGAGAGCAGGATAGGGTGAAGTCTGATGAGACTCAGACAGAAATGCAGAGTTCAGATAAGAGAGGGGGGGTCATCCTTATCTGCAGCTCGTTGTCCTGATACTTCCACATCACAGCAGAGCTTTGCTTCTGGAAATGGCCACCTTTGAAGAAGCAGAGGAAACTAAACTAACTCAATCTGTACACTGAATGTCAAGCAAAGTTGGAACTGTTGAGATATGAAACAATGTTCTCTTCTATTTTTGATTTCATTTTATTAGGCTTTTCTGAAGTAATCACTGATGCTGTTCCATCTCTCCTCAGAGCATAACTAAAGTAACATTCCCCCCCTTGCTCTTGTTTTCAGTATTAGAATGAAGGGGCAGGTAGAACAAGACGTCCTTCTTTCCATCATGACACAAAAAACTGCTTAAAGTATACAAGTTTTTTTCAATAAGAATTGCCATGAGTGGAATAAACAAAACAAATCAAGAATAGAATAGAATGGACGCAAACAGCCAAATGTCACAGGGAAAATGCCAGATGCAAAAAAGGACACATTTATTACATTTTAATTAAATGAAAAAAAGTTGAAACATTACATTACATGGCATTTAACTGACGCTATTATCCAAAGCGAATTACAATAAGTGCAATAAACCATAAAGAGTCAAACTAAAGACAACATTAACAAATGTGAAAGAAATGTGGTATAGTCATAGTCAGTCAGAAACTCTACCCTTCATTGTTGATACACACAAGATATAGCTATAGTTTAAACATCAATCACCATCTAATGTATTCATATGGTATTCATGTGGATCAGGGAGGAAGCTTTCTAATGTTGAAATACTGTTAGATATATTCAGCTTCTCCCCCCCCCCCGCCTTCCTGACTCCTTGCAGCTGAACCTGCTAAAAGAGATGCATCAGGATGAACTGGGCCGCATATCTGAAGACCTGGAGGACGAGCTGGGGGCCCGGACCAGCATGGACAAGAAACTAGCCGAGCTCCGGGCTGAGGTGAGGAGGAGGAAGAGGTGGAGAATGGAGGAGGAGAGAACACTTGTGGGAGGGGGGGGGAACTGTATTATTTAGTGTTGTCGAAAGCTATGGTTTAACCCTTTTTTTTAACTTGATTAAATAACCACTCTTTAGTCGTTATGGTTACAGTGTTCTCCCTGCCTATGGAGCAGAATCAGTGAGACCACCTACACTTAGTGTTTGGAGTGAGCATCACAAAGGGGAGAGCCTTTCCCTAAAAATCCCATATGGCTGAAGCTGATGTGGAACTTTTGTTATTTTATGTCGTACAACAACATGTTAAAATCTCAAAAAAGCTCACATTCAGGTAACCATTGACTTCCAAGATAGGGAACCGGAAGTGACAACATGCTGAGACATTTCCAGGTTAAGGACTCATTCCTGCACCACTCTACTCTGTTCTTCTGCAGAATGAATACTTTGACAACTTGAAGTAAATGTTGGTGATAATACTTATGTACTTTTACTTAGTAAAGTGATTCTGAACTCTCTTTGTTGTAACCAGATGTGGTGCTTCTCAGTTCAGTAGGGAGGCTTCCCTGTATGACTACAGTGTGTTTTTCACTGAGGCTTGATGGGAACGCATGAGGGCATGTATCAGCTCAGTGTCCTCTCTGCTCTCTGCTCTCGGCCTCTGTCAGATGGAGAGGCTGCAGGTGGAGAATGCTGCAGAATGGGGACGCAGGGAGCGCTTGGAGACGGACAAACTGGCCCTGGAGAGAGACAACAAGAAGCTGAGGGCCCAGGCTGAAGACCTGCAGGAGCAGCTGGCCAAGAAGCGGCGTCAGGCTGCCTCTGCACTCGACACCGACATGAAGGCCATCCAGAGCGAGCTGTTCGAGAGGAACAAGGTGGGCGGGGCTTCCCAGCTTTCACAGTCCCTGTACCTTTGTTTCAAATGGGTCTCTAACACCAGTAAGCAAGAAAGCTTAGGAGAGTTCTGCCCCTCACTCCGATGATCATTTGACCATTTCATAAAGTAAAGAACTATTGCAGTCGCTTTTCTGCTTACTGGTTTACAAAAGAAAAACATTTCAAACAAAGGTACACAGATTTTCACAAAGCTAGTTTATCAATCTTTTGATTCTTGTCTTTAGGGAAATGTCCATTTAATGACAACTTAGCTGATAGAAAACACACAACTATGAACAATGGTATGTATGTATTTGAAGGTAACCAGATCATCCTTTCCTGCACACACACACACACACAAACACACACACACACACACACACACACACACACACACACACACACACACATCCAACGTTACCCATCCACCTGTAGACAGCAGAACAGGAGATAACTGAAAACATCAAACATGATGCTATTGATGAGTCATCCCAGGGTGGGGATAAACATTACTGAGTCAATTTAGCCAAATATCATAACACCTCTTATGCTTCACAGCATGTTATATGATGAACTTGTTCATGGTACAAAGGCTAGGTGACTTTACATGTGTGGCACATTGAAACACCAGAGCAACAGTAGGGCTGAGCTTTACATAAGGCATGGAAATGAACTAAAGTAACCATTTTTAAAAGTGAAAATAAATCAAATATAATAATAATCCATACTTTGTAGTTATCATTAAAGAACAAAATACCTGGACATTAAATAAAATACAAGGACATGTCTTGTAATGACACCTGTGTTCACCAGGTGGGGTTGTTTACCCAACATGCACCTCTCTGGCAGCAAGACAAACTGTGTCGCATCAGGTAAACATGGATCTGCAGTTTTTAGATAGTGAAATGGTGACCTTTGATGACTCTTCCACAGTAGTTCCAGTTCTGACTTAGTGACGTTTTCGTTTCAGTATTGAGCAGTGGTGGAATATATCAAAGTACATATACTCAAGTATTTGACTTCACTTGAGTATTCTCACATTTTGTAGGCAGATGCTGTGCTTATTACTCAGCTACATTTTACAGCATTAGTTACATCCTACTAAAACAAAATATATGATATATATATTTGTTATATATATGTTATAGTATTATAAAATAAACTCCCTAGCAGTTTATAAAATAATTGAAAGTGATGAACATATGAATGCAGCAACGATTACAATACAAATGTTGAGTATACTGTATATCATTCTGAAATTGGCCATACCACATAATAAGTACTTATACGGTTGGTACTTTGAGTCTATGTTGATCGTAATACTTTTGTACTTTTACTTGAATAGGATTTTGAATGTTGGGTTTGTATTTGTATCTGTATGTTTACACTGTAGTATTGCTACTTTTACCTGAGTAAAAGGTGTGAGTACTTGTTTCACCTCAGGGTGTACTCCTTGAACATCAGAACACTGCACATCAATGTGATGGTAGTCTGGGTCAGGGGATGGATAGCTGGACCTGAAGAGTG